TTAATGATTTTTCAAGAGATACTTCAGCTTTTGTTTTAAAATAAGAAATTTCCTTTCGTTTGAATATTTATTGTATATCAGAAATATCAGCATACGGTCGACAGTTATCGTAACCATTTTGCTTACATATGGTCTTTATGTTAATGTATTGCTGTTTGTTAGCCCATTTTCTATTAAAAAGGCTAAGGCCTCATAGCATTATTCGGTTAACATGTTCGCTAATAATTTTTATACCCTTGCAGGGTATTTTAATTTCAGTCAGAAGTTTGCAACGCAGTTGCATCTAACCATGTCCTTCGGTCCTTCTGTCCGTCTGTCTGTTTCTTCGGAAACTAGTCTCAGTTTTAAAGCTATCTGTAGTAGTTAGTCTTCTATATACTCTCACTCGTATATATGTCGGAATGGGCCGGATCGGACGACAATAATACCCTGCAAGAATGAGTTCCAGGCTAATCCTAAGCAATTTTACGCTTTTGTTAATTTAAAACGGGGATCTTTTTCTTCTTGTCTAGATCTCAATACTGAGTCCGCTTCTAACGAGCCTAACATTGCGAACTTATGTATTCTTACTTATGTATTATTGTCCAGTCTACGTACTCATCCATTAGCTACAATACAACCTCTTCATATTCTTATTCTCTTCCACACTCTACACTCATAAAAATGTTAACCCGAAATCGCCCTAAAAAGTACACTTTTCGCCCGTAGATTTAGAAATTCGCCCTAAAAATGGCTCCAAAGGCGAGTCGCCCTAAATTTAAGAAAAATTTGCCCTAGAATCGGGAAAGAAACTTCCTCAAATTTAAGGCGATTTTTCTTAAATGTAGAAAAAATGTCTTTGTTTTTAGGGCGACTTACCCTAAGTATGTGAAAAATTTTCTGTAATAAAAGGTACATTTTTCTTAAATTTAGAAAGATTTTTCTTAGTTTTAGGGTTTTTTGACCACTAAAATGCGACTTTTTTTCTAAATTTAAGGGCAAGTTATCTTGAATTAAGAAAACTGGCCCGAGATATAAGAATCTATTTTCTTGGTTTTGGGGTGAATTTTTAATTTTTAAAGGCCTTGAAAAAAACACAATTTTTTTGTTGCTGTTTTTTTATTTGTATTTTATTATATTAATATTTACATACATATATTTATATAAAGATATTTACACTTAGCTATTTACATTAAGTACAGATATTAATATATAATCTTAAAATACATTTTTGGCTTAACAAATTTTTTAATGTTATATATATATGTATATATACATATGTATGTACATGTATGTATGTAACTGTATATTCCTCCAGTTTTTACGTCTTTGAATAAGCCGTCATCAACGCGCCGACTGCGACTTCTATAGAGTCGACGCTCTGCCGACTGCGACTTCTACCGAGTCGACGCTCTGCCGGCTGCGACTTCTATAAAGTCGACGCTCTGCCGACTGCGACTTGTACGGAGCCTACGCTCTAATGCTGCCATGGTGATTGCCTATCTCACTGCCTCACTCACTCTTCAAACGAGTGAGATGAGCCAAAAGCAAATAAGTTAACAATTAAAATCGAACCAACTGTTTCGCACCCTAGAAATTTAGCATTTTTATGTGTATAATATATTATCATTAACAATTATAATGATGGTATTAGGAATAAATATTCTTTAAATATAAAACGCGAATGAAAAAATAATTGCAAATAGAACAAAATTGTTTGAGCTGCAATAACATTTTAAGTAACTTGTTGCCTCGTCGGATATATCCTTTATACCCTGTTTACAAGGAAGCAAAACACTCGGACACAAGATAGCCAAACGGGACTTTGTGAAACGAAACGAACAATAAGAGAAAAAAAACGGACTTGAGGATCCGTTTTTCCGGATCGTGGTTCGTTTTGTTGTTGGAGGCACAGTCCTTTTTTTTCTATTGCTTATTCGTGTTTTCACTTGCAGTTAAACAGTGAGCTAAGTGAGAAGTGTGCGGATTGCGCACTGCGCACGCCAAATTAAACAAAAAATTTTACATACATATATAAATATTCTGTTTAGTTTTCAATAATTGAAACTATATATCAGGTGAGTTTTTATGTAAAGATTAAAAAAAAGTTTACTTTCGTATCAATTCTGTCTTCTATTTTGAGTACATCTTCCCGTCCTCCCACTTCGTGTCTGCATGCAGCTATTGTGATACATCGATGGTGCGAAGTGTAAGAAAAGGCTTCGAGACCATAAGAAGTTCAACTCTGCACTCTTAGGTAATTATGTATTTTTTTTTTAGATTTTGATATCAATTTATTTTTCAAATTTTCCTTTTCAGATGCAATAAGTCAAGTTGATGCAACGGAGCCACTTGCCAACCGTTTAACTAAAAGCCTTCCTTGCGCAAAAAATTTGGAGGCGCAACATAAAAAAAGGAAAAGGGATGAAGACGTGTTAGAATGTGGTCCAAGCGTTTTTCAATGCATTAATATTTAATTTTTAATGTTAATTATTATAATTATTATTATTGTATTATTATTTTTTAAAATTTATTTTGTATTATTATAAGAAATATTTTGATTTTGATTATTTGTATTATTTTATGTATAATTTTAATTTTATTATGTTAGGTTTTAAGTGGATATAATAAAAGTGAATGAATTGAAATATGAAATACCTTATTTATGTTTTTTTATTAATTTATTATTGATGACACATCGATGAATTGTTGATGAAACATCGATGAATTGTTGATGAAACATCGATGAATTGTTGATGAAACATCGATGTTTCATCGATGTGTGTGTGTGTGTGTGTGTGTGTGTGTGTGCGCTTATTTTAAATTCTACTGTCTGTTAGGTTAGGGTTCCATGTGTCAAAAAAAATGATGCAATCATGCACCAACACGTTTGTAGGTATACATGTACATATGTATATGCATGTACATGTTTGTTTTTTTCTAATTTGGTTCATATTGAATTACTTACATTACGCCTGAGTTTTTTCAAGATTATAAAACTCAACGGCCACACCAACAAGCTCCGTTGGAATTTCCCCTCGAAGTTGGTCTCAAGTTGCACTAATTGTGAATTTCCGTTTTTCATCTTCTATTAGGTTAAGATTATATATCTATGTATATAAATTCCTTTAGGTCAACAATAATAATAAACTTACCTTCAAAAATGTTGAGCAACATATCCCCGTTCAAATTTTTTTTAAATGTCTCCATCGCTGGACTTTTTACACGCAACTTCACTCTTTGATCTGTTTACACGCACTGAAAACCCGAAACTAACCCTTTACACGAACTGAAAACCCGAAGCCCTCCCGAAGAATACCGAAAATATCTCCGTCTCTGTCATTCTCATGCATTCCCCTTTAAACTTACATCTGTATCCTGTAGTTCTAGGGCGAGTTCGACTTGGTTACACGAAAAATTGACCGTCAAAACTATGGCGATTCGCCCGTATATTGAGAAAGACGCCAAACGAACAAAATCAGAAAAAATCGCCCTAAATTTTAGAAAAAAAAAGTAAATTAACCCTAAAAAATTGTGTTTATGGCGGCTTGTCTTGATTTTATGGTGCCATTCCCTAAATGTATAAAAACCTTTTCTTAATTCTAGAAAATTTTTCTTAGTTTAAGGGCGATTATTTTTTAGGGCGATTTTTCTTAAATCTAGAAAAATATTTTTATGAGTGTAGGGGACTTATTAAATAGCATAAGGCTATTAAATTGGGTGTCCAGCGCCAAGAACATATCAAGAGTTTTACGAAAATTCGTTAAAATGCCCTTAAAACCGCTTTTGGTTTGCCGCATGAAAGACACCATCTCCCTTTCTACATATATCGCGACAGGCCTCACAACAGTAACGCAGGCCGATGTTTTTTTTACATCGTCCACCGTCCGAGCTGCAACTCCAATACACTTGGCGTGCATGACGTTGTCGCACAGCCATCAGCCGATTGTAAGGTCACCTGCAACAATTGCTTTTTTGCAGGTTTTGACGAAACAGACAATATTTACGGACATTATAAGGACTTACCACTGTACTTGTACTTGGAAAGAAAACAACAGAGAGTTGCGACGGCGCAAACAAAAGCTAGACGAAGAAGGCACAAAAAAGAATGCAAAATATGCAAAAGCTATCACTAGCAGCACAACTAAATTGGAAAATAAAAGCAATTATATACACAAATAAGAATAGCTGCATGCACACGCGAAGTGAACGGGAAGTTATAAACACAAATTAGAAAATTTAAGTTAACCCCGGTGGTTAGATTCAAACTTTAACACAAAACGAGAGCGCAAGAAAAAACACGTCCGTTCACTTGAAAAGATGAAAGAGTTTAACCATACTCTTAATTTTAATAACCACATTGGTTTAATTATTAGTACAGTTTAAGGAGTTTTTGCCTTTGTTAAGCGATGGTCAAAGGAGTTTGATGATCCTTATACTTCAAAACTTCTTTATATCTGACTTGTTCGTCCTACTCTCGAATATTGTTCGTGTGTATGGTCGCCTCAATATGCGAAGTATAAAGACCTTATTGAATCTGTTTGTTTGTTTTGTTTTGTTTGCTCTATGAGGATTACGCTGGGACCAACATCGTCGCCTCTGAAACCTTCCCAGTTTGAAGTTCTCACCCTTAAGGATCGTCGAACCTGCCACGGTGTGATGTGCCTGTATAAATTAATTAACGGACATATTTGCTCCACCATCTCTTAAGCAAATTAAGGCTCTCGGTCCCTGTAAGACCTTCTCCTTATTTTCGCCCAATGGCCCTTAATGTGTGTAGAACGAACCTTAACGTGCATGATCATTTCCGTGTTCTATGTTCCCTATACAGGAAATATTATTTTCTCTTACATGTTGAATTGTCTATCGAAACAAATGTGCGTAATATGTTCCTCTGCCCACCTGATATCAGCCGGAGCATATCGTTATAAAATACTCCCTTTTGTCGCGAAGAGGTAAGTGTATGGTTTAATAATGGCAGACATATTGCTATTCCTTTTTGTACATAAATAAATAAAAAATAAACGCTAACAAAAATTTATTAATTATAATAAGAGTTCGTTTCTTTATAAACACTGATGATGGTTATTTTAAACTGTTTTAAATGATTGATTAACGAATGTGATATGTGTAACGATGTCGCCAAGAATGAGTAGAGATTATCATGGGGGCCATGTTGGCCAAGAAGACTATCATAGTCGTGTTACTCGACCGTCACGGACTTTGCTAGATTTCTGGGGCAATCGACATCGCATCCGCGAAGTACAGCAATGTGATAGGATAAGAGTTGCATGGGGATAACGGTGAGAATACCCTGCAGGCAATCAACGGTTCGGGGGATCTCCAGGTGGCGGGAAGAGAACGCTTTGGTCTCCTCGTCTCCCTCCTCGCAAATGATAATCGGACAGCCCTTGCGCGAAGTTACCTGCTGCAAGGCGTTCATGCACTTGACGTAGACGGGATCGCGCAGGACTATCATCAAGACGGGCATGGAATCATCGACGAGGGCCAGTGGGCCGTGCTTTAGTTCCCCGGCCATTATGCCCTCGCTGTGCATGTAGGTCAGCTCCTTGACTTTCTGAAAGACGTAACGAAATGTATATGTTTAAAATGAAAGGATATCTATTTATGTATGTAGTTGCCTAACCAGGGCTCCCTCTAGGCAGGTGGCAAAGTTGTAGCCGCGACCCATGATCAGCAGTGACTTGTGCTGGTAGAGGTCCTTGGCCAGCTCCTGGACTTTCGAGTCGAGTTTAAGAACCGCACGAATTTGATCCGCGAGCGTTGACAAAGCCTGCAGAATTTCCAGTCGACGCTGCTGCAGTGAGAGGCGGTCCTCGGACATGACCAGCGCAAACATCACCAATGAGATGAACTGCGACGTGTATGCCTTCGTCGAGGCCACACCGATCTCCGGGCCAGCGTTAATGTGCACTCCACAGTGGGACTCTCGGCAAATGCTGCTGCCCACGGTGTTGGTGATTCCCATGATAAGGGCTCCCCGTTGCTTGCAATAGCGCAGGGCCATCAGGGTGTCTGCAGTCTCGCCAGACTGAGAGATAAAAAAGCAGACGTCGTCTCGGAAAACGGGAGTGTTGCGGTCCAGAAAGTCGGATGCCAACTCAACTATAACAGGCAGCTCGGTTAGCTCTTCGAGGAGCTGCCTAGTGGCAACGGCGCTATGGTATGACGTGCCGCACCCAATGAGCATTAGGCGCCGACAGCGTTTAATTTCTGGAATGTAGTCCTTAATTCCTCCTAGTACAATTGAATTTTCGTCGAAGCGTACGCGACCACGCATTGTATTAACCACAGAGTCGGGCTGCTCGAAAATTTCCTTTTGCATAAAGTAGTCGTAGTTGCCCTTCATGATCTGCTGAATTTCCATCTTTAATGTAGTGATTTCGCGCGCGTGTGGATCGTCCAGGCTTTTCTTCAGGCGATGGATGCTCAGCGTTCCATTGCGAACCGCTGCCACGTCGTCATCCTGCAAACACGCAAATTTTATAAAAGTTACTAGTTTATATTAGATAAGTATTAAAGAGTTCGTCTTGAACCACAGTAATTGAAAATTGTATACAAATGTAACAACATCACAGTTCATATTACTACCTTATTTATTTTGGAATTTTAGAGGCCATTTTCTAAACGAAAAAGCTAAAAAGTTTGATACCTTGAACCACCATTTTTAGAATTTAAAAATCTTGATTTTGATCTTAGATCTCAATGAATGTATCCTCCTTATATGTCAGACAAAAAAAAGGCTAGTCCACAAGCATTCATTAAAATTTACAATTGACTGGCTAACTTGGTTAGCCCAACACATATTCTGTAATTCAACATGGAGATGTATGAAAATAACACAAACTAATCAAACTAACGAATCAAATAATAAATATGTGTAACATTTATGGACGTGTAATATTGTTCCTGCTTGGCAATAAAACTTAGAAAATAATTAAATAGTATATTTGATCAAACATTGTCGTCAAATTGTCCACCTTACCGAGTAGAACGGTTAGTAAGAAATCTTGACTGTAAAAATTATTATGTTGTCACTTATAATATTATATACATGTTATATTTATAATTAAATATCCTTATATAGATGCTAAGGCAGGTCTTACCTCCAAGTAGATGACACGATTGGTGTGCTCAATAACGGCGGAAGCGTCCGATGCGAAGAAGTACTCCACCTCTTTCTCCTCCAGAGGCATGAACTCGGAGGTGCTGTCCGATCTCGGAAGCACTGGTAATTCACGAGATGGTCCATGTGGACGAATATCTTTTAGTTTAGCATTTTTCGTTGGTTTAGTAATTGTCGCGTAGGATGTGCAGTGGTATTTACAGTAGCGATTCAACGGTTGCGATGACATTTATAGCATTGATGGTATAAAGAGTTGTTTTTCAGTTCCACCAGCCGGAACGGGACGGGGCAGTTCCAGCCATCGTGACCAAAGGCAAGAGCAGGTGCGAGTGTGGGAGCGTGGTTATGAATTTGGATGTGTGAGTGCCAGGCCAAAGAAAAGGAAAATTAAATAAAAAATAATTTGGTTGAAATAATTTTCACACACCAAACAACTCTCCTGGTTCGCTTTTGTAAATTTCAGAGTCGCCCTTAATTCAAGCAACACTAAATATTTTAGCAACAGAGCGAACTACTTTACTACCCGAAGTCAATAAAAAAATATGAGTACATGAGAAGAGCTCCGAAACGACGGAATAAAATCACTTAAAACTAAAAACTGCGAATGCATATTGCATCTATGTATATAAAACCTATCAAGTAAATATATTTTAAAATACCACATTTTGTTTCAGAAAGCATAGACTAACTATACTGAGGCTCGTGTGATATGTGAACGCTCATTATTTTTTATATCTACATTTGAATGCGCCAGCTAAAGGCTATGGATAGCAATTTTGAATAAATCAAGTCTCTGGTTTATTATAAAATATTCTCTCCCAAATGAATAGTCCTTATTATTATTCAATCCCAAGAAATTTCAGCCAGGGGCTCTTCGCTCTGGATTTTAAATGCACTTAATAGACGTAAATATTAAAGGTTTCTAATATGAAGCCGTCAAAACACCTTGCAGGGAAGTGCGATTTTCATATTCAAAATATTCAAAGTTGTAATTACCTTGAGCCTTGCCGGAGTCGGCATCTAAACGAATGCGAGAGGGCGAAACAAAGCGTTAGTATTACTTTAATGATGGCCGGAGCTAAGCTTAAACAAAATAAGTTTGTTATTCAGGGAGAGGCGAGCAATTCGGATTAGAGTTAGTGTATAATTGGCCCCAAGCACCAGATTAGCAAGTGAAAAACAAACGGGTAAGTCAGGTGACTACCTTTGTCGGAGCTCTGCTTCTTGTCATCTACGGTTCGACATCGGCGCCAGGAGTGGCACAGGGAAGGTACGTCGGAGTGGATGGCAACGAAACAGGTCGATAAGGACGGGGCGACGGGAAGCGACGGTAAGTAGTGTAAAGAACCGAACGAACGCAACATATATATAGTTATTTACAAATAGATAGAAGACAAAGGATGAATTAAAAGTGGGCGGAAAGCAAAAAGTCCGCTTGCCTTTTCCATAGAGAATGGGGATGTGGTCCGTGGCCAGGCGAGTCTTCGTCTTAATTCCGACTAGCAAGGGTGAGCTGCGGCGCGAGGCAACGCACTCTCCGGGGAAGTGCTTGGACTTTACGGCAATGGCAAAGGCGCCTTCCTGTACAGGAGATAACAATTTTAGGTGGTACAGACACCGCCTCGGGCACCACTTACCACTTGCAGAATAGCCTGCTCGACCAGCTCGCGGAACGAGTATGTGGGGTGGGTTTTCCACAGGTGGTGCACCAACTTGGCGAACACCTCCGTGTCCGTGTCCGACTCGAACTCGTAGCCGCGCTTGGCTAAGAAGGTCTTTACGTCGTTGTAGTTCGTGATGATGCCGTTGTGGACCACAACGAAGCCGTTCCCTTCGTCGGAGCGGTGCGGGTGGGAGTTCCTCTCGCAGGGCACGCCGTGGGTGGCCCAGCGGGTGTGGGCGATGCCGATGTGGGTCAAAACAGGCTCACCGTATTCGCCGCCGCTGAAGTCTGCAAAAAAAAAAGAATTAGGAAATGAAAATTTCAAAGGAAGTCCAACAACTGTACTTACGCTCCTGGATGGCATCCTCTAGCACCTTGACCTTCCCCGTCCGCTTAACCATTACAATGTTTTTATTATCTGGCGAGTCGATGGCAACTCCAGTGGAATCATAGCCGCGGTACTCCAACCTCTTCAGTCCCGTGACCAGCAGGTCGAGCACCTCCTGGCGCGATTTGGGAGTGAGGTAATTCAGATAAGCAAATATTCCTGAGAAGACAATTATTGGTTATTAATTTTGTTTTCTTTAGTAAAATCAATTTTATAAAAATAAAATAAAGTTTCAAGTTTGGAACACAAAATCCCTAAAGTTATTTAAGCGATAAAACCTTCTTTTACTCTTAATCTTGCAAAACTAATGTCTTTTAGCTTTTAAAATAACTATATACTTAAAAAAATAAAATTAAACTTCCTTATTTAAAGAATTAAAACATGCAGTGTTCGTTTGAAAAAAATATTTGTTGACTATGCATGCTATACAAATAATATGTATGTATGTAAATAGGTCAGAAAGGGGCGAAGATATACAAACGCCGAAATATTTTATTGCAAAAGAGACAACCAGTTATGAGGAAATTTTTACATATGCCAACTAAGTAACCTGTTTTGAATGGGCTTGAAGATTGTGATCGAGTGCAGAAATCGACTCGCATTTGTGGGCAATCACTGACGGTATTTCGGGTATATGAATATTATATAATAAAAAGTAAATTCAAAACAAAATAAGACATAATAAAACAGTTATGTGCTTATCAATAAATATAATAGCACGCCACCTAATGTACTACAATAATTTAATATCTTACTTTTACCTTAAATATCTTTAAATTAATTCGATATTATTTATTATATCGATCATATGTGTATACATTATATAAATATAAATTGGGCTTATGTGATTGTAAACTACTTACCACACATTTTTAAAGTTATAAACTCAATCAAAAGTAAAGACTTTGAATATTATCTGTAATTTAAAAGGAAATGTTATATTAATTAATACTGCGTTCTAAATACCAACTAACTTAGTCCAAATTGCAAAACCAAACCACTCTTATTTAATGTTTTAATATGTATAAATGTAAAATACACGTGTAGGCATACTCGATAGACGAGCATTATCTTTATCTAATACATATACATAACTCCGTTCGGTAAATCAATCCTATAATATAGTAACAAAATATAAGATTCTGATAAAATAAATAAAACTTTTGGAAAATTTCAGTCGAGGCTGATAAGATTTTTGCTGATGTGCATTAAAAATATATTAATATTTATAGAAAGGTTAAATTTAATTACAATTCTATTTTGTTAGTCCAGTAATAATAATAAAGAAAAAACAACTATTAGTTATAATAGAATTAGAAATGTAGTGAAAAATGGAAATGAAAAATAAACCAATCAAAGGAACTATAATGAAGGCGTGTAAACCATTAACATTTTCTGATACGGCCTTTTTAATAGAAAGATTTTCTTGAACGTTGATGCTGATCATATACATACTTAGAAGGGTCGAAAATTAATCCCTACTCCGACTGCCTTCAAACTTGTTCAATTTTGTTTTGGCTGTGAAATGTACGGACGGATAGGATAACTCTACACGGCTAGTAATGCTGATCAAGAATTTCTATATACTTTGTGTCGTAGAAAATACCTCCGTCTGCTTGTTGCATATGTTACATTGTTGATTTGCACTCGGTTCTAATTCGCATTTAATCCTTGGCTACTGGGTATATGGATTTTATTGTTTAATTGTCAGGGTGGTGGATATAAAAGTCTGCAGAGATAACTGAAACACACCCTGAAATGTGTTTTATCAACTGAATACTTCCTGTATCTGCTCCGAACTCACCGACTCCCCCGCTCAAGGCCTTACCATACTTGTTTAGTTGAGCTTACACAAATGGAAATTTCTTGCCATTTGAATTCTTATTTATCATTGACACAACATACACTTTTTGTTAACATTTACGCAGCACTATTTCTGACATATATACATATGTGCATATACTCAGAAAACACTTAAGAATGCCTATATATTGTTTGAGAACATTTTCAACCCTCGATTTTTTTGTTTCTCTTTTATTTACACATATGCCTATGTTAATATTAATTTATTTTTAGCCATAGGGTCTATTAAAATGTTTTAGTAGACGTCAAAGACAATGAATGTCAATTGATAAGAATTCTGGGTTTTCAAGTTTGTCCTGTTAGTTTAAAGAATCCAATTAAAAATTTCATGGGTTTAGTAACGTTTCCTTTCCTATTGTTTTTATAAATAAGAATATATAAAGAATGGTCAAAAATTATTCTCTTTTTTCGCTAAATTATAAAAAATGTCAAATTGTAAGTTTGGAAAATTCAAACATATTTTTTAGACAAGCCTATCTTCTGCCGCTAAAAAAATAATAATATTGAACTGAAAACTGAAAAGATTTGATTTTCCCAGATATATGTAGATACTTTCAAGATTATTTATATAAATGCATAATATGCATATATTTTTCGTACTTTCGCGACCGGATGTTATTTGCTTTTATAATTTAAACTAAAACCTTGTGCCCCACAGTTTGCACCAAGCATTTAGAAATCCTCATAGGGTGAATCATAAATTTGTTTAAGTTGAATTACATTAAAACTACAGGCCAAGTATTTTGACGTTGCTCTTAACTGTATGACAGTTTAGACTGTCACGCAATGCGTTACGTTGTTATTTTGCCGCTAACTGTGAATTCAATCAAAGATTGTGGGTTGACTCACTCACGCTGATTGAACTTACCGACAGAATTTGTTTTTTTAGAGCTAAATCAATTGTATCGTAAAGTTTTTTTTGTGCTGCTATCACGCCTTACAAGAGGATGATATGTCCATATTTTTACGTTTTGTGGTTGATTTGCTAGTTTTCTTCGTGCCTAGTTCACTCTCGTTCTTTTATTATACCCTTGCAGGGTATTATAATTTCAGTCACAATTTCGCAACGCAGTGAAGGAGGCACCTACGACCATATAAAGTATATATATTCTTGATCAGGATCAACAGCCGAGTCGATCTAGCTATGTCCGTCTGTCCTTCTGTCCGTCTGTCCGTCTGTCCGTTTCTACGCAAACTAGTCTCTCAGTTTTGAAGCTATCTGAATGAATTTTTGTAGTTAGCCTTCTACATACTCTCACTCGTATATATGTCGGAACGGGCCGGATCGGACGACTATATCATATAGCTGCCATAGGAATGATCGGATAATTTTTACAAAAAATATTATAACAATTTCAGGTTTCAAAAGAATTTGCTCAAATTTGATAAATAGCCATTTTATTATACTCTACAATTTGGTGTACATTTTTTTAAAAATTTGACTAGTACATCATATAGCTCCCATAGGAACGATCGAGAAATTAATACAATTAAATTTATAACTTTTTCAGTTTTCAACTGATTTTCATCATATTTGAGGTAGAGCCATTTTATATTAGTCCTAAATTTGTCAATTTTCATGAAAATCAGACGACTATATCATATACAGACGATCGTTTGATGTTGAGAAAAAATGCAAATCAGGGAATGTAAAACTGCAAATATAATATGTATAGGTGAATGAAATGAAAGCAGGTATTACTTCATTGTTTTTTAACACAAATAAATATAATTTATATTGTTGGGATTCCAAGTCATAGAAGTTCTATCTGCAAGGGTATATAAACTTCGGCGTGCCGAAGTTAGCTTCGTTTCTTGTTTAAAATTTAACAAGAAAGGAAGCTAACTTCGGCACGCCGAAGTTTATATACCCTTGCAGATAGAACTTTTATGAATAAAAAACCATACAATATAAATGATATATATTTGCGTTAAAAAACAATGAAGTAATACCTGCTTTCATTGTATTCACCTATACATATTATATTTTCAGTTTTACATTCAAAGATTTGCATTTTTCCTCTACATCAAACGATCGTTTGTATGGCACCTATATGATATAATAGTCCGATTTTCATGAAATTTGACACAAAATTTAAGACTGATATAAAATGCCTATACCTAAAATTTGATGAAAATCAGTTGAAAACTGAAAAGGTTATAAATTTAATTGTATTAATTTCTCGATCGTTCTAATGGGAGCTATATGATATAGTAGTCCGATTTTCATAAAATTTTATGCAAAATTGTAGAGTATAGTAAAATGGCTCAAATCTCAAATTTGTAAAAATTTTCCGATCATTCCTATGGCAGCTATATGATATAGTCGTCCGATCCGGCCCGTTCCGACATATATACGAGTGAGAGTATATAGAAGGCTAACTACAAAGTTTCATTCAGAGAGCTTCAAAACTGAGAGACTAGTTTGCGTAGAAACGGACAGACGGACAGACGGACAGAAGGACAGACGGACAGACGGACAGACGGACATGGCTAGATCGACTCGGCTGTTGATCCTGATCAAGAATATATATACTTTATATAGAAATTATAATACCCTGCAAGGGTATAAAAATGATAGTCTTCGAGTTGTGTGTGGTGATGAACATATGATATACATACATATATTTGATTTATCGTGACAAAAAAAAAAACAAGTCCAACCCCTGATTTAATATTCACAAATTCACTTAAAAATTTGGCGCATTGTTTATACGAACCCAAATATTTGCTAGATACCACAATCATATTTTACTGAAAAATTGCTATCTGACAATCTGTACAAGGTATTGTCCTCATCTTCAAACTTTCTGTTCAATACTTATAGAAGCCAATCCAAGCGATTCCTAAAAAGAGAATATTCCTTGGATCGGTTTCTCACCCATAATATATTATTTTAATCTAGTAATGCCGCTGTTTTTCCATTGACATTTTCGTTAAGACCAGATTGCAATAAATTTTGCTTGACTGCACTGTGGTTCAACAACCTTTTACTTACCTACATAATACCTCTACCCCGAATATTTAAAGATAAAAGCAATCTTTCGCGTTTACTTTGTCAGTGACATATTCGGGCAAAAAAATAAAAACCGTCAGAACCCTTATCACCTTATCTTCCCTTCTATTTCCCTAACGAGCTGTCCAACAATATAGGCACTTGTGGCCAGGAAGTTCAATAAGAAAACATTGACAAGAAAGCCCTGGCAATTAATGAACTTTACCATGTCTGAATCTTTGTATTGGGCTAGAGTACTCAAGAGACAAACAACTAAAATATACAACCTATTCTGGTTTCTTTGTTATATTTAAGGACCCGTCATAAATTTACAGACTGGAAAAAAAAGGAAAGCCCAAAGAACATAGGGAATAATACAAATCTGTACATTCAATCTATACTTTATATCTATTATTATTAATTGATTAAACGATACGTAAACGCATTAATACGGGGAAAATCGATTTTATTAGCAAAAGAGAACCTTTTGATACAACGTAATAATAAATTTCGACTGTATGTTTATTCTTCTGAAGTAATAACCATGAACTAGGAATCTTAAGGTTACTTGACTCGCATAATACAAATGCTTCTTAGTGTCTGAAAAGCAATACACCATCGTTTCTGTTTACATGGGTTGCAAAACCTATTCGAGTACACAGTTGTGCCCTGCAGTTGTATTAACAAATTATTGGATATGAAGCTAATGCCAATCCAATGAATTGAAACGCAGTCAGCGAGAATAGGTGTAAGTCTCAACTTAAGCCGTTGCCTATGAGCCTGATTTTTTAATATTTGATAGAGGTGGGTGTCACCCCATATACACAAATTCAAGCTGCCGAAACAGGTATTTTATGTAAGACAATAAACGTTGGCTCCTCACACTTTTCGCCTTGGTAGTAATATTAAATTCAATGTAGGTTTGCTGCGTTGGCACCGGCACCGCCGAATCCAGCTATTGGACTTGAAATGCGCACAACGTCGCCAGTTTCAGCTGTGTGGATGCCAACTAGTCCGTTGACCACTTTCAGTCTCCTTCTCTGGACTCGCACTTACTTGAAATGCTTCTGCTGGTTGCGCTGCCGGTTTTCGCCTGGTTAACTGGTTGTGGCTGACTTCGCTTCGGAACTGGCAAGCTCTTAAACTGCCAACTTCGCTGTCGGAATAACACTGAGCGCACTTCGAAGAGCAGCGGGCGCTAAATGTGGTTCTTTTATAGGTCGCTGCTGCGCCACTAGCTCTCCGCCGCTGACGAATGCCCGATCCGATCCGCGACGATCGTTAATGTCAAAGAGCTCGATTCCGACCAACTCACTATGGAGCTGGGCCTCACATTGGTTGGCAAAGTTGAATATATAGGTAAAAGGTATTGTTATACGTATATATTCAACTATATACATATATATGTATAATATATGATACGTAATACATATTTAAATATATATGAAAGTAATAAAAATCTAAATAATAAAGTACTGAATGATTTTCGTTATTTTTTCTAAGCTAATTTACTTATTTTTTAACTCCAAAATACGTTAAAAAATGTCTTTAAGTTGGAGCAATTGGCAAATACTAACTAGAAGCACCTATTCCAATGTCAGGTAGGAATATGAGTTACTCGATTGATATTTCTTGTATATTACCACCAATTGAGTACACTTGTTGCCATGTAAACAAGATGAATATAATGATTCTTTCAGCTAACTTTTAAGTGGAGTTTGGATATAAGCCAAAATACGGACCAGGCTAGACCGACTTGGTAATTAAAACTGAATATTTTAAAGAATATGACACATAGACCTATAGACCCTAATGAAAAATATTTATTTTACCGATACTTAAAATTGATGTTTTGACCAAAAGAAGTAAACGTTGGCTCCATAGTCCGGCCGCCACGAATACCAAGACGAACAAGACCTGCGGGGATCGCGCAAAGCCGGTAACCGACTTCTCACTTAACGCCGTCAGCGCACCGCAGCAGTTGTTTCTGAAGCGTGAGAAGGTGAGCGACTGGGGCTTATTCTCTTTCTGCAAAAGAAGTGATGTCAGGGTGAAAACTTCGCACTGGCCAATAGCGGGTTGAAGGAATCCCAATAGAAGACTCTCCAATTGATTTAATTGCACATACCCCCATTGGTGTTGTGCCTTTGCGTGAAGTAAATTTGTTTGTATCCATAGTGTGAATATTATTTATCTGACGAAAACTACTTAATACTTTCCGCATAGTGAAAAAATAGAGAGGTTAATATATATACATTAAAATAATTCAAGTCCCGGACTTTATGTTTAGCTGCACTACACAGCCTTTATATTCTTTATTGGTTTACAAAAAATACTTTCGAATTCTTACACATGAGTGTATTTGTATTATTAGAGCACAACAGTCAGCGCCAGCAAAATTTAATCCGCAATCTCGTTCAAATCTAAAATATCCAGTATTATATATGTATAAAGGTCGTTGCAGAATGTATTACCTATTCCTTTAGTGACCAGAAAATGGTGTTTAAAGGAAACTAAACGTAAAGTTTGGTTGTTGAGTCTAAGTATTGCCAAATGAAACCGGTAACCGCCGAAGACTCGCGCCACCGGTTTAAAGCATTAATAACATCAACGGTACAATATAAATATTTATGATTTCTTTTTTCAATATTACCGGTCCGTCTGAAATACGCACGCATTAAACCAGTTTGATTTTTTAAATTTTATTTTAAATTTTCCCACCCATACGCTATTACGTGCGTAATTCCCTGACCTTGACTCCCATCTGAAAGGAAAAGTGATGCTGGCCCTAGCGCATCTGAAAACCAGTCTGAAACTGGCCCCAGTTAATATACATATTTTAATATACAAGCTTTGGCCGAGAGACATAGCGTTTGTGGCCCTCTTTTAAATCTTACAGAATTAATGTCAAATGGACCTGTGTCCTGGTCTAGCTTAAACAATCTAACTTTTGCAATTATATCGCTGCAACCTTAAGACGGTGTTTATGTACATCAGCTGTTCCAATATTTTTCTGGAAACTCCAATACCTGAGCAAAAGAAAATACTTCAAATTTGTAAACTATTTTCTTAAAGCTGTGGGGTTTCAGTCGAGGGCCTTTCTTTGTACAAGTTTTTGCTGCTTACGACTGCTTTACGAGTTGCTTTAAGGTGGTATTGGTAACCAGAAGTATCCGATCGACTCGTCTGGGCGGCCTTGCCGTTGGAGCGGCCTCTTACCTTTTACTTGCATTCAACTGCGGTGGCTGCCGAGGATTGGTATGGCCGGGGCCAGAAGGTGCCACTTATCCAATGTTGAATTAATTAAGCACGGAAGAGCTGGCCGCCTTTCCGGGGGACGGTAACAACTGCAATTCTTACCTCTTTCCCGTTGGTTCACCAAGGTACTCAAATATTCGCCTTCTAATTTTCAATTTTGACTCTTTGCGCCACGTCAGACTGCCAAGTGGAAAACAAAGAAAAAACAAGTTTTAAGTGCCAGTCGTGTACAGAGAAGGTGGGTGCAGTGTTACTGCTTATCAAAGTGTCGATAAGTGAGAAACCATTATCAGAACTTGTTTCCCGGCAGCTGTGAGAGGTGTATTTTGATGATTTTTGCCCGTTTGGATAATATAGGGCCATAAGGAAAATATAAAAATCGTTCTTCTTTGTGTTTAAGCTTTTAGGTCCGATTACAACCAAATTATAATTTCATCCTAAAGTTACATTTACAATGCTACAATGCTTTCCCAAAATAATTTTCCTCAGTCCTGAGGGTACTCGATACATCAATTATTCATTGGGTATTATTTGGTAGAGAAAGTATATTCCCCAAGTTTGCTATAATATCCATTGAAACCTATATTATACAAAGTACAACTACAGTATCCAACCCGTAAACCTTTAAATTAAATAAGAATAGATTGCTACATTCACATATAAAGAATATACAGACATATATATATAAGGATTTTAAATAAAACCCCCATTTCCCGTTGGCTATTTTCTTTTTAATACGCTTTTATTTTAACTTTTTATTATTATTATTAACATGCAGTTAAGAAATGAATTAAACTATTGGTTTTTGAAGTGAACGCATGTATGCTAACTCTAAAGAAGAGTTTATAAGTCTTACCTTTATTTAATGTTTGAAAAAGAGCTAAATAACGTTTTAAGACCTAAATTACCAAAAAGCATCTAACAGCCAACTATTTCATTTTTCTACAATTTGGAACTGTATTTCTAAGGTCATGTCAAAGGGCAAGAAAATCGTATTCCTTTTAATATATCATTTTACTTTTAGTTCAATTAACATAAATATTTTTTTATTTTTATTTTTTTTATAAATGTCTTATTTGTCAAAATTTTATAACGATCACATCAAAAATCAGGAAGTTATAGGTAGTTAAACCGAGCCCGTTTAACAGTCAATGTATGTGTGTATGAACATGAGAAAGATTGAAGGTCTTTACTGAATAGTGTTATTTTTAAAGATACAATTTTTGAGCTAACTTTGAACGATTTTCTACACCAATTTTTAGAAAAGTTGCTTATTTTGCACTTTACACTTACGATAAGCATTTCTAAATTTCTTCTTTTTTATTATAACCTTGCAGGGTATTATAATTTCCGTCAGACGTTTGCAACGCAGTGAAGAAGGCACCTCCGACCATGTAAAAAATACATATGTATATATTCTTGATCAGCATCAACAGCCGAGTCGATCTAGCCATGTCCGTCTCTCCGTTTTTACTAGTCTCTCAGTTTTGAAGCTATCTGAATGAAACTTTGTAGTTAATATATAGAAAAATACTCTCACTCGTATATATGTCGTAGCTGCCATACGAATGATCGGACAATTTTTAAAAAAAAATTATAACATTTTCAGTTTTCAACAAATTTTCATCAAATTTGAGATATACCAATTTTCTTTTATTCTACAATTTTGTGTTAAATTTTATGAAAATCGGATTACTATACTATAATACAATAAAAATTATAACTTTTTTAGTTTTCAACAGATTTTCATCAAATTTAAGCTATAGCCATTTCGTATTATTCTACAGTTTTGAATAAAATTTTATGAAAATCAGACTACTATATCATATAGCTGCCAAAGGAACGATCGAGAAATTTATACAATAAAATATTATAACTTTTTCAGTTTTCAATAGATTTTCATCAAATTTGAGATATATCAATTTTATATTATTCTACAATTTTGTGTAAAATTTTATGAAAATGGGACGACTATGTCATATACATAGGTGCCATACAAACGATCGTTAGATGTAAAGGAACAATGCAATTCTGTGAATGTAAAACTGCAAACATAATATATATAGGTGAATGAAATGAAAGCAGGTGTTACTTCATTATTTTTTAACATAATTATATATAATTTATATTGTATGGATTCCTAGTCATAGAAGTTCTATCTGCGAGGGTATATAAACTTGGGAGTGCCGAAGTTATTTTCCTTTCTGTTTTTTTTGTCATCTGTCTACAAAGTAAAAGTAAAAATAATTAATATGTTCAATGTATGACGGTAAAAGATACAATATTCAGACCGAAATAAAACTCATTTTATGCCAAAAGAAGTTCATAACAAGAAAGGAAGCTAACTTCAGCACGCCGAAGGATTTAATGCAATATAAATTATATATATTATTGTGAAAATATATAGGAGACTAACTGCAAAGTTTTATTTAGATAGCTTTAAAACTGAGAGACTAAATTGCGACATGGCTAGATCGACTTGGTTGTTGATGCTGATCAAGAATATATAAACTTTATATGCTCGGAGGTGACTCCTGCTCTGCAAACTTCTGACTGAAATTATAATACCTTGCAAGGGTATAAAAATACACTCGAAATGCGGTAGGTCTTAATAGCTTATGCTCTTAATCCGAATTCCTGCTCTGACAATAACGTTTTAGTATGGACCCCGAAAAAATGTACATTTAGTGAATACAGAAAACATTGAACTTTGGCTTGGAGTTGTTTAACAAATAGATTGTTTTGATCGACCTCTGTTCGACGAGAAAATCTACGAAGACTAAACGCTAATGATTCTAAAAGATCTTGATCTCTACATTGCTAAATCGAAAAGTCTCCGTGACGTGCCAATTTGGAGTAAAGACTTTATTAAACCAACGCAACAATAACAGAAGAACCACAAATTTCAGCA